GGGGCGCGGCTCAGCCCGGCCTCCTCCCGCTCTTCTTCCCAGCGCCTCCTTCTTCCCCTGGGGCCCTCCTGCGGGCCGGGGCACCGCGCCGCTGAAACGTCCTTTGGCCAAATGCGGGAGCCTCAGAGGCGAGGTTTGCCTGCCCCTTGAGCAAACGCCGCCTGAGGCTTTCGGGGCCTTGAGCCTGCCGCAGGAGGGAAGCGACGGGGGCAAAGAGGGCGGGAGGAGCCTGAAGGCTGAAGTCTGGTCCGAGGGAAAGGAAAATCCTGAGGACAGGCAACTTTTTAAAAGCTAGGGAGTGTTTTTTTGGTTTTTTTTTTTAATGTCCCTTTGGGTTCATCCACCAAGAGAAAGACTAGGAATTTAGCTTAAAAAAAGGTGAAAGCTTAATCTGATGAATGCAGGAGTTAAAGATTTAAAACACACAGAGAAGGCACACAAGTGACCTGCACACAAAGTGCAAGAGCTGCCATCAGTGGAAAAGAAAAGCTTTGACTTGGGAAGTCCGTGAGCAACAAGATCAGTAATCCTTCCCAGGCGTTTTATAATTTGTGTCTTAGCGCAAAGAACATTATAGAAAGAAAAGAGAAGTTAGGGGAATTTACCAACCTAGAAATATAAACAGTCTCTAAGCATCCACACCTCTTTGTTTTTCTCTAGTCTCTCACCACTTGCACCCACTAGGTACCCGTAGTGCACTCGTTGTGCTTTCTTCTCTTGCCGTCGCTCCCAATACCGCTGCTCTCTCATTCAGAGATGTGAAGTTGCGAAGTGGCCACTGAGATTCTCATCTCCTGTAAAGACCCAGGGCAGAGTCAAATTATAACCTCACATTTCATAAATTTCTGCTATAAATTTCATAAATTTCTGTTATATTAATTACATTAATGTAACTAATTAACCGGAATAATGTAATTAACTGGAATAAATGCTTCCCTTGTTATATGGAAAGAACATTACATTGATCAGCCCACTTAGCTGTGTTAGGATGGAAGACCATTGCTCCCTTTACTCAGCACTGAGAAACCCATAAACTTTAAAATCAAATGTAAACTTTGCCTTGCATTGTCTGATTACTTCTTTCTCCTTACAAAAAGTGTCTTTAACAGTAGTTTTAAGCAGAAGATGGGTAACACTCCCCTTTGACACCCATGATTTCCGTAATGTAAGTTCCAACGTTGCAAAGGGATACACCGGATTCACTTAGGGATGCAGCTTAAATGTCTGCAAGATGAGACTGCTAGCTTTCTGCACACAAGATGAAGGCTTTTAGTACTATTCCTATCCTCGTGTTTCGATACTCCCTCCCACGCATTGATGGAAGAAGGCCCTCGTGTCACTGCTAAATGAGCCTCAGGTGGAAGGGGGAGTGGACAAGTAGCAGCTGCCTGCCATAAAGAGGGTGAGCTGGGGACTTGGTTAGTTTCTTGCTGGGCTGTAAGCAGCAGCAGCAGCATGGACCTTAGTTTTGAGGGGCTCTAATGGGGCAGGAATAGCTTAGTTTCTGTAGGGCTGCTGCTTTTTTTTTTGCTTTTTTTTTTGCTTTTTTTTTTTTTCCCCTTCCCTATATCACTCTCTCTCAAAGGTCAAAATAATTCTGAGAGCTTTGGCCTAGGAGAGTGAGGCTTTTTTGGTGCTTACAGGAGCTAGACAGGCTGCTCTAGATGGAACTGAAGAGGACTCCAGTGTTCCTGAAAACTTTCTGAAACGCTGGGCTGAACTGTGTGCTATTTTGTAACAGGTCTTAAATTCAATTTTTTTTCTGTAATTTTGAAGTGCTGAAATTGTATAAAGAGTTGAACTGCTGTCTTTTTTTTCTGTGTAGTCACTAGATCTTCTGTGTTCTCCGATTTCTTTTATTCTTGCTTATAAGCTATGTGGGATAGGGTTGTATCACTTGCATGGGTTGGAACGGACTGAACTTAGTGTATTAGTTAATGCAGGAAATATGCAAGTGTGGGAGGAGGTTCTGTCTTGTGAATTTTGTATGGCTTTGAACGTGAACTTTTTTGTTACCTATCATTTAGTTTAAGCATAGGAAGCATGGTGTCACTGAAATATTTGGTTTATTATGTTAGCTGTCATTGTTCTTAAGTACATTATAAAGTAAAAATCCTGAACTGATACAGCTCTTATTGTGATCTCAAATACAATGTATGTATTGGCATTAAGAAATGTTTTCTTCACAGAGCACCAAACTCTTCATTTTGTGAAGCCTTCTATTGCTCCTTTTTGTTTTGTTTTTGAGGCCTTTTGCTCAAGGCTAATTGATTGAAGGCTAATTTTTAGTTGGCTGGAATACTACTTACATGGATGTGTGCATATAAGACTACATTAAACTTACTGGTCCTGTGACTGTCCTGTGGCTTTAAAACGTGTTAGGAGATTGGCTTGAAGTACTAATATTGAGAGGTGCATATAAAAGCTTGCTTAGTTAAGGAGAACTAAAATCTTTTACCTTGATAGTAATGTCAGTTTTCTACTTTAACTGTTTGGAAGATCGTATTTTTCTTCTGGAAAGATCTGGTTTCATTTGGCTGGGAGAGGAATGTCTGCTGAATTCTGACAGAGCATAAAAATCATTAAGTCACACAGGTTTTTGAAGTGGTTAATCCTGATTAATCCTGATTATTTATCTCTTATTTAATTTAAAAAAACAATGAATACTGCTTCAACTTCAGAAAGTGGATCATATTCCACAAACCACACAAGACCCTTTTTTTATGCACAGCCAACAGCACAACAGCCTTTTCCAAATCCATGGTACCTCAGTCATGCATACAGTCCGTACTGTGTACCTGCTCCAGGTAAGGTAAATGAGAGCTGTCTGTGGTAGCTTTGCTTAGTAAATTACAGCTAGAGTGGAGGAAACAAATGTATATCTGTGTTAATAAGCTTCTTGGGTGTTTAAGGTAAAATTAATTTAGTGTTTTAGTTGTCAAAGATCTGATTTATGAAGTGTTACTTAAATGTGTAGCTTGTGTGCTGCAAAGCATCTGTTTCTGGAGAATGGAAGCTAAGCAAAATCTTAAGTAAGGGTTGTCGTACAGATACAGAGCTCTAGAATGTGACTAACAATTAATATGTGTGTATGTATGAGTTCCATACATGCATTATAGGTATGGAGAAATACAAACTTAAAATTCCACACAGAAACAATATTGTTAAATACATCTTGTAAATGGTATACCTATGTTAACTTCTATCTGGAGCTGTCTTTTTCAAAGACAATGCTATAGCATAGTCCATAACATAGCAAAAAAGTACAGAAAGCTAATTGGTGTATGTTCCAAGGAACAAAATCAAGCTCTAGTTAAAGTGTAGCTGTCCAGATAAGCTGTTCCATAATGAGGAACTCTCTCTGAGTTTCTGCACCAGATTTGCTTCCGAGCACTGACAGGCAGAGTGTTTTACTTACCAATGTGTTTGATCTTGCAGCTGTCCCTATGTATGCAAGCAATTATTAATCAGAATTACTTATTTCAGAAAGAAGATATATTTGTCTTTACTTTTTTTTATCCCCAATGTCTAGGCTTCCGAAGTGGAAATCCATATTTTCCATTTTATTCTGTTGCGCTCCATGAGTACCCTGGATTTTTTGTTCCACAGCATCCAATGCATGCAAGAATTAACAGAAGGCCTTGTTTTAATGCTCCCCCACCTTCCCCTATGTTTTATCATGCAACAAGATTTAGACACTATAGTACCCCTGGGAAAAAAATGGAGACAAAAGAAACACAGACTGATCCTAGACAGCCTGAAAACAAGCAAAAAAAGCATCAAGATACCCGTACAGAAACGAAAGGTTGTGATGCAGGAAATACAGCCTGTGTTTCTTCTGGTATAGGTACAGAGACTGAAAGTACTTCAGAGAAACAAGATTCATCTGGATCTTCCATTGTGGTAGACAGAGAGTTTCATAACAAGAGCCCTTCCAGCTCTACACAGTATAGAAATCTTCCTACTGGAAGCTATGCCTTTGAGAAGGAAGAAGTGAGGATAGAGTACGGAAATGGCTCTCCAGCTATTCAACTCTGGAAGTCCTTTAAAGAAACTATCCCTTTGTATGATGTGGCAAGTGGTAAACCAGTCCCAGAAAACATAGTGCAGCGTGACTTATTTTCTGTTAGCTCGTGTGAAGGAATGATATATGGCCCTCATGAAGGGGAGAAAATGGTGCCAGGAGCTTACTTAGATGAGAGAAAAGCTGTTCTCCCCTCAAAACAGGGTGTTGAACCTGTGCAAGAAAAAGAGGTCCAAAATAATGAAGTGAAGCTGGATGCAGAAAAGCAGGTGAATACAAGTCAACGGGCAAAATCCCCCCAAGGTGAAACCATGGCAGTGCAAATCGCAGAGTTGGCAAGATCTGTTAGTGTAGACCAACCAGTGGTGAGACAGGATGTGGTAGTAGCTAAGAAATCTAGCTCTAAAAAATCTACAGGCTCAAAAACTTCTCAGGAAGAGCCCAGCTTTATTCAACAAGCAGGACTACTTCCATCTAGTATGGAGGTAATGAGTGACTTGAGTTTTCAGCAGAAAAAGCTGACTCTAAGCCACAGTGCAACCAATGAAAGTCAAACAGATAAAAGTATTTGGTGTGACGAATCAATTGAGAAGTACGTTCCTCCTAACAGTTGGCTGGCTTGTTTGGACAGTATGGACGCAAACTACAACTATGATGTTTGTTTGCCACAAAGGAAACATCAAAGTGTACTCAGTCTTTCTTCTGATGACATGTCCTCTAGAGAGGAAGGCTCATCAGTTGATGATGCCCCAGTGTCTTATTTTGTCCCTGACTATGTGCTTCAGAAAAGCACGTATACTTTTCAGAAAAGTACAGAGGGCTTAAAAGGTCCCTTAATGAAGGTGAAGTGGTAGGAAGGGAGCAGATGAACAGCTTGAATGACCAAGATGTCAAAAACTCTTCAACCATGAAGATTAAAGAGGCTTCTAGTAAAGGCAGAAAGCTGGGAGCCCTTCCTAGATCTTCTAGTTGGAAAAAAATCAATTCTTTCAAGAAAAAAGCAGCTAAGAGTTTGTCAGAAGTTGAGGACTCTGAAGAATACTCTGTGAGGGGAGAAGAGGAGGATGAAGATGGAGAGGATGAGGAAGATGAGGATGATGATGACATGGATGAAATTGAATATTTCTTTCAAGAAGCCACTCCATATGGAATCTTGACGCCCAGCAAAGGAAGTTTCTACCAAGTTGGCCAGAGGGTGCTTTGGAAACCACCTAAAAATGCTATACCAGCTCAATTAATTAGCTGGCCTGCTCAAAAGAAAATAAAAACCAGGAGTGGGCTTGGTGAAAACATTGGTATAGTTTACAAGCCAAAGGAGAAAGAACAAGATGAAGTTGTATGCAGTGACTATGGGTATTATGGAAGAAAGAGGCCTACGGCAAGAAGAGAAGGACTTGAACACCAGCGCATGCTCCGGAAATTCTTGGGAGGTAAGCTAGTTGCTGAGGACAAAGTGCTGCTTAATAGAACACACAAAGAACACCTAATTGCGGTTGCAGATAGTAGTTTGAACCAGTGGGAAGATTAGAGAATGTTGCAGCTTCAGGTTTAGCTTAGAGTCAGAAGTACTGCAGAGTATTTTTTTTTTTAAGGCAAAGGGCATTTGCTGCAATTTTTTACCTATTGCATAAGGATTCTGCATCTTCACAACCAGCAGAGAATTTTGCAAAATGTCTCCTTCGAGTTAGATTTGATGTACCTACCTTTCTGACATTTGTGGCAATTTTTTCATTTGAAAAGCTTAAGGTCATTTGCACTACACATTTACCATTGTTTAATAACATCTTGGAAACTTGGCATTTAAATTTATACAAACATTCTGACTCTCCCATCACAGACCAATGTTAGGTGGATTAAACATGATTAAGTTCATTATAACCTGGTGGCTATACCCTGTGTAACTTCTCTTCTCTGCAGAAGAGGAGTCAAACCATTAATTTTTTTTATTGTAGCTGCTGCTCTCTTACTGTTAGCAACAAAAGTTTTGCTGTATTTTCATAAAATCAGTGTGAAACTGTATTAAATTTGATCTGGAAAAGAATATTTTATTTACTTGCAGGTAGATATTGGTGGAAATTGGATTCATCTGAACTGAGAAAAAGCAGAGTTATCAGTCAGGGTTCATAGCTGGTTACATGGGTACTTCAGTAAGCGGCTGCTCTTTAGTACAGTCTTGTATTGTGAAAGGCATTTAAAACAGTGATGTACGTCTAATAACAGGTTTAGTGTTCTTAAACATTATTTTCTTTGTACAAAATCTGTAGACTTAAAGCAGCTTGTAATTTTTGTCAAGTGTGGTCTCCAAAAAAACGATGTTTTTATTTTAATAGACTCTTACAATCAGATTCAGTTGCTAGCTTTACATTCTGACTTGTGGATCAAACAGTATATTAACATTAGGAAAACTAAATACTGACCTTAAATCAAAATTTTTTTTTTTATTAGGAAGGTTGTTAAGGGAGAACATGGGGATACCACCTGAAGAGTATTGGATTAGAAGTGGTGCTAAACCCAAATTTACCAGCCAAATACATGGTAGTGTCTCATCCCCAGCCAAGAGCAAAGAACAAGGTACAACTTATTTCTTCAATGTGTTTGTGTTCTTAAGGAACATTCAAAAGGATAGATACAAAACAGCAAGCTTATGATATTTGGATGAGATTTTAAGATAATAAAACTAATTCTCATTGCTCTGATATTGATGAAATTCCTGTCAGTCAGTACATTTCAGGGTGTATTTATATCCTTCTCAAACTCAAACATGTGAATAAGGATGCATTATAGCTACCTTTTTTTTTAAAGGTGCCATGGGAAATCAAAGCATCAAATGCTTTGTGGCTAATCAAAGCCCTTATTTGTGCAAAGTTGCTACTGCCATAAACTGTAGTATTAATTCTTTATCCAGATAATGCTTCTCTTGAGTGCACAAGCAGTAGTAGTTCCTAATCTTGATTAGTAGAACATATAGGAAGTCATGTGTGATAGCTACACAGGCCAACGTTCAGAGAAACTAGCATGGACCAACAGTTGCCCCACTAGTGCTGAAGGATGTCTGAGTGCAAATCATCTTGATGTCTGAGGAACAAATCAAAGTTATTCTAACAAAGTAAAAGGTTAGATAGTTTCTATATCTTTTTCTCTCCTCCTGAAGCAGAATGTTTTTTCTTTACAATTAAGATCTACTTGGAGTTCAGCTCTGTTTCTAGGTGCTCTGCAAGGGTGTTTCTTGGTGTAAGTGCTGTTGGAACAACTGTAGAATTTGCTGTAGTCAGAGTATAACTACTTTCCTGGGTCACATGCTTTCAAGTATCACAGGAACTGTCTATCAAATAATGGAGTGTGACATCATCTTCAGAACAGACTGATGACTTGCTTCTCTTCAGTTCAGTGATAATACACATCAGGTTTCCTGTATCAACAGCCCAGTAGACTATTCTTTAGAGTGTTTCCTTAGAGTTCTCTCTCTGCATTGCTTTCCTGCTTGAGCATGTCAGGGTTTGGGATTTGCCTCCTGCATTGGAGGCTTTCTATCCACAGACTTCTTCAAACTGTTGTGGGGTTTTTTGTGCTAGCCTGCTCTATAAAAGTTAAAAACACTTTACTTTAGCAGCACTGTTCTTAGCTCCTTACAACAATTCATAAAAATAATAAAATAGTTCTAAAATAGTTTTGTTACCTTTAACTTTCAGCATGTCCCTTCTATCTCTTCACCACAGATGGTGTGGCATACTGAGGGTGTTAGTCCCTGTTTTCTTTTCCTCTTTTTCCAGCCTATGTAGTTTGAAGAAGCTATCACATTCAGTATTAAGAAGCAGGAATTCAGGTTTCTTCTGAATGTTGTTCATGCCAATGGATGCCTCAGAAGTGCTAGTAAAATTACATCCTTTTTAAAATGTTTCTTATCTTAGGACTGGTTTCTTCAAATTAATCTTAAATTTAAGTGCCCTGCAAGTAAGGGATTTCACCTAAACAAGATATGTTGCTTTAGCAGTAACATCATATGCTAAATTTGATTTCTTAAACTGTGTACCTGTAGTGCATAACTTAACAGGAATGAAGAATTGAGTTTTTTTAAAGACAATGGGTGAGTTGGGTCACTTGGACAGCTATCAACTAGTCTTGAACACTTGAAAAGTGAACTAGAGCAGAATTATCCAACTCTCACTGGGTTCTTTTTTGCTACATTAACACCGATACAAGTTAGGACCCAAAATACAATGCATCCAGAATTATGATTAGATGGTGATTAAATATGATGGAGATATAAGACTGTTGCTTGACATATGTAGTGTCAGTTTTATCTGCCACTAAAATGGGAAGGGAGAGGGAGAAAGAGGAACACTACAGACCAGTTGGGGAAAGTCAAGCTTAAATTTGCTTTAAGACTATGCTTTGGAGAAATAATACCAGTTGTATCTTGCGATGTAGGGTGCCCACCTTTGGTTAAACCAAAGAAGAAAAGAATAGGCAAGCCACCTTCAAAACGCAGAGACACAAGATGTGAGGTGGAAGAAGTAGAAGTGTGGGAGATGCCTAAAAGCAGTGTACGCAGAGGTTGGTATACAGTGACAAGCTACAAAAATGACTGTTACAAGCATTTTTTCATTACTGTCTCAGGGACTAATGGTTCTCGGTTTGAACTGCAAGGATATTGGATAGCTTGTGAAATAATAGCAAACGTTATGTAAGCAGACAAGATGAGAAAAAAAGCAAGCTAACCTTTGAACACTTACTTGCCTTGCTATGAGTACTGTTGTAGCTTTGACCAGGTTAGGTTCCTTTCCTTTATTTAAAGGAAAGGGGGAAGAAAAAAAAAACACACACACATAGGAAAAAAAAAAAACAAAACAAATCCCACTATTTTAGTCCTGTTGCTCTTCAAACTGTTCTATTAACTTTTTAAATGTTGGGTCCTGTGTGACTTTGCAGTTTATCCTTTTCTTTAAGCTACAGGTCCGCCTCAGCCAAAATACTGTAACTTGATACAACACAAATGCATATAGATAATTCTTAAGAATTTCAACTTTATGGAGTAGGAACTTCTTGCTACTTTGGAGGAAGATGGGAAAAACTATAGAGGGGAAAATCACATTAAGTAGGTTCAATAATAAATACACTTTTGTGCATTTGAGGGGGAATCTTAAAAGGTTATAAATTGAAAAGGGTCAGTACATACAAGAAGCTACCTAAAAGATCAGGGTTCTTTCTGGAAAAGAACAATCTGGCATAGTAAAGCTAACTTGAATATTCAGTCAGTTAGTTAAAGACCATCTTTCTCATATATTAAACAGAGGATTACAATTCCATGTATTTGCAAGGTCAGAAACAGAAACTTAGACTGAAGCATCTTATTAGTCAAAATTGGCATCAGTCCTGAAGTCAGATTATTTAAACATCAGTGTTAAACCTTTAATTGCTGATCTGTTTTAGCAAAAGCATCCAGGAAACTTGCATAATCCCAAAATACTTCTTGTATTTGCCCCAGAAATAGTTGGTGTTTCTTGGATGCATTCAACAATGTAGTTACAAGAGCACACTGAAAATATGCCGTGAGTTTGATATGGAACTCTTATATCTGTTATACTGGGATATTCTGCAGTCCAACACCATTCCTGCAGAATTTATCCTTGCTGGGAATTTGAGTACATAGCTCTAATATCAACCATCAGTGTCCTCTCCTGCAAAAGGAAAAGGCAGTCACTGATGTCTATTCTTTCTTTAGAAGGAAATTGACATATATTATTTGGAGGGAGAATGCATGACTTAATCTCTTTTTTTTTTTTTAGGGTATGGAACAAGAAAGTCCCTCTGTAAGAGAAGATAACTGCAAATATTGGGGAAGGAGGGAAAAAAAAAATCTTTCGGAGGTTTGCATAAATCCAAAACTCAGTTATTATTCTCTTGTATATTTTGTAAGTTGCTGTGCACTCTTAAAGGGTAAAAAGTAGCACTGTAAAGACTGAGGACACTATTAAAATGGAATTAAGTATTTAATACTAAAGTCACATTTTTACAACTAACACATCCACTATTTAAATAATAAATTTAATAGAATTGCACTTTGAGACTTCTTGTATTCCATCTATACATGCAAGTAAAAAAGTTTGATAGGGATGTATGTGCATCAATACCGTTACAGCATACCATTTACTGCTGCCCTGTTCTTAAGTTCTGCAGGATTGTCAAGCCTATCAATGTCATCTCATCTCATAGTCAGTTTGTTTATATGATGTGGACAGACATACAAGGTTCTCCTCCATCAGCTGGATTTTTGGCTGGATTTGTTTTTGTCAAAGTGTAAAAGAATACAGTTAAATCTGTATCAAGTCAAGTAGTGACTTGAGATTTCAAGGCACTTCCTCAGATCTTACTGTCTTTAAATTCATGATTGAGTACTAAAACTAAAGCACTGAGTTGATGCGCTGCTTCCCCCTCCTTCCCTTCTTTTTCTGTGGAGACTTTTATGAGTCCTCTATGGAGACCTTCAGCTGGAGAAATGGACTTTGAAGGTGAAACAGAAGTTTTTACAACAGTGGTGTGCCCTGTTCCCTGGCTTCTTACTGATGACTTCTATTACAGTTGATACAGTCCTTAGCAACTTGCTACAGAAAAGTCTCTTCGTAGAACTAAGATGATAAAACTAGGTCTCTGAGCTATCTTACGAATAATGGAAATAGACTCATCGAGGTGAGGTGGATAGCTCAAAAATGTGTGATCTTTTTCATGTCTATGAAAGCTAGTATCACCATGTGAGAAGAATAAACATGATACTGCCATTCTTGGATGATTCCCAAATAAAGTGATAGTGTGAGTGAAAAAGGTAGGGAAACTGTAAAAAAAACAGTTTTTTCTTTAATAAAGGGCGGGGGAAATGGACAGACAGGATTTGTCTTCTGCCTTCTCTCCCAATGTTCTTTTTCCATCTGTGCCCTAAAATAACCTACACATATAAAAGTAGCATTTCTTGTGACTGCATTCAAGTTTTGTGCCTGCCTATTACTAGTTTCACCTGTAACTGAAGTTATGCTGTTTTCCCTCAGTGAGAGTATTGAGGTTTCCCTACCCAATTGATCCTTGATCTTTCTATTATTTTTAATAGCACTTGCTTACTTGTTAAAGAGCTACTGTAATCACAGTCTTTACCCCAAGCTGTTCGGGGAAAGGATCCACTTTAACACTGTGATGCCAAATTTTTATTTCCTCTTTACCCTAAGCACTGCAAGAAAATAAGGAATAAAATTCTTATTTGGCTTTTGTACTGCATAAAACCTCTGTTGCATCAGAACCTCAAAGAATACAATGAGGGAGGGAATTACTTCAAGCATGAAGCTTTTTAATACTCTGGAAAATGCTGCTCTTGGATATGTAATACAGGAATGTGCTGCTCTTAGGGGGGATAGACTTTATTCTGATGGTGAGAATGAGTGGTAGAATCTCTTCAACTTGAAGACTATGAGTGATGACCTAAGTAATCCTCAGCTACAGCTGAGACCTCTTAGGTAAGGATTGACTACTTTTTCCCTGAACTTTAGTGTAGCTTTGGGATTGAATACTAAGCCAATTCTGCTGACAGACTTAACTGTTGGTCTTTTGCTGCTTGTCTGATAAAGGAATATTCATGACCTCACAGTTAGATAACACTCTTTTTTTGGGAATGGCTAATATTTCACAGGTAGTCCCAAAATCATGCTAGTTATCCTTTCACAGGTCTTGCACTAGTCAGTGTGCTTTCTACCCAGATGTAAGAAGCAATTTAGGGCCTAGTGATACTAGCGCCCAAGAATATGTGAGGGAGTAGCAGTAGGAGTGTTTAGACAGCTCTCCGTCTGAAAAAAAAAATGCTATTTTAAACTAATTGCTTATAATCTTATAGTGTGCCCATGCTATGGATCCACACCAATGCTTAAAGTAGTATGAATGAATGTTCTAGTGGTCCAGAAATACTTTTTGGATAATGTTATATGTGGTGTACTCTACTCTGACAGTACTAGTCCTGTGACCTTAAAACTAAATCTTCTACTTGGCTTTTTCTTCACTCAGCAGCATGGATGATTTGTGGACTGCATCTTAAGTCAACTGGCTTACAATTGTAATGTTCAGAAAGGTTGTGAAGTACAAACTGCATTTTAAAAGCCTGTGAATTAAAAGTCCAGGCTCTTTTATTCCGCCAGGTAACTAGCCACAGTGATATTTGAGATTTAATTTGTAACAGATGCACATACGTGTCAACTTTTGTTACCACTGAAGCTAGATTGCCCAGTAACTGCAGTCCTGGCAGTATTATTAGCTTGTAACTGTAGCAGGACTGGATTGCCTTTGAAGTTTTCACATGCTTCCTGCAGCATCTACTGAACGGCAGCTGAAGAATCTATTTGCTGCTTGGCACACCAGTAACAAACCTTAGAGGCCTCTGAGACTGCCATACTGGGAGCTTTGTTTGGACAGACTTACTGTCTGTGACTCAGAATTTCTAAATCATTATTTGTAGCTAACTAAAACCTCTGTTGCAAAGTGGGTGTGGTGTAATCACTGAAGTGGAGCCAGTGGGTTATGTTGGCTTGCCAGGTTTTAATTCTATATTTTAATTTTCAATTTGGTAGCATCTGTGTGGCATAAAGCTTTCCCTTTTAAAATGTCCTGTTTTCTGCCTTATATTGGAAAAGATTAATTACAGGTCTTTCTATTAAAATAAAACAATGGAAGACAGGAGCCAATAGCAAAAATCACTCATCGCATGCTAACTGTAGGCATACCAAGGAAAAAAAAAATGCACTCTTTAAAAAAGAGTCCTCAGATTCCCCTGACTGACTCATTGCCACCGGCCATCTCAGTAAACAAGACTATAAACCTCAAGTAGTTTCATGGCCAAAGAAATAAGACAGATGTCAGTATTCTTGCTGAAGTAATCTTTCTGAGAAGAATGGTTCGGAGTACTGAGATAAATAGACCTGGGAGCTGAAGACCTGTTAAGTTGTATTGCCTATGAGATATGTTGTAGCTGCATTTCATACTTACTTAGATTCATGGGACTATACAATTATGCTATTACTACCACTCAGGCTTCAGCAGAACTTTCAAATGGAAATATACATGTCTCCAAAGAAGGCAAGGATTGCTAGAAAAAATAAAATTGGTTCTTTGAAGAAAAACATTAATAGTTCAATGGTTAAGACTTAAAAAATAAGGCTGATCAGACTTTCAAGACTATAGCTTTCTATGCTGCTTTCTGGATTTACTTCTACATAGAATCATTTTCCATTCATAGAAATGGGTGTTAGTATTTATCTCTAGTCTATGTATTTCTAAAAGATCTAGATTTTCTTAAATACCAGCTTTGGCACCGTTTAAAATGCTAAATGATGAAATGAATCGTGCTTCTTAGCACTCTAGCACTGGCTGCCAGTCAGCATTACTCAAAATCTTACTCTGTTGAAACTGTTTAATTCTGAAATTGGCTCTACTTTTGAGTTTCAGTGGAGAACTACTAAAATCTTTATATATGGGATAGAGATCTATAAAACTGGTAATGATATGGGGAAAATGAATAGGAATCAGTTGTTCACATGCCTTCCATTACAAGAACTAGCGTGTATGAAATGAAACTTGTAGGGAGCAGTTTGAAAGCAAATTATGTTTTTCCACTAATTATTAATTAGTCTCTAGAGTTCCTTGCTGAAGGAAACTACAAAGTTTACAAGAAGTGACTGGATGTAAAAGAAAAAACACATCCAAGGCTACTAAATACTAAAATATAACCTATGATTCAAAGTACCTGCACTACAAGCATTAGAGGCCGAGACAGCATTTTGGTGAAAGAACAGAAATAACGCCACTAGAGTTTGCACTGTGCTGTTGTATAGGCATCCACTATTGACCATGAGTAGAAAAAGATACTGGGTTAAACAGCCCTTTAATCTGGTACAGAACAGAGAGTTGGTATCTCAAAACAAACTTTTAAATTGCATTTGATGTAAGTTAGAGAATGGTCTTTTACAGTATTTTTCTTGATTGTTCAAATAAACCCTTGTAGGTAAAATGGGAAGGACCCATTAACAAGGAATGGGATGACAGATTAAGGAAAAACTGAGTTTGCTTTCATTGAACTAAATTTTGGAAGAATCTTAAATGACAAAAGCTAAAGTAACTGAAGAGATCTTCAGGTTAGCTCTACTCTAGACAAGGGAGTGAGAATTCTCTTGGAATCATCAGGTGAATACCAGCTTTGGCTTCCAGCATCTGTCCAACAATCACCAATGCTATAAATGCAAGGATTTTCTCAGCACCAAATGTGGTAATATACAGAACAAGGCCACTGTAAATCTCCTTGTGCTATTTCAGCTGTTGAATCTTTCTGGTGAAAGAGCCAGGGACTTTGAATTTGTTGATGATGATGCCGATACAAGGAACTATCCGGAGTCACCAGTAAATACCATCACAGGGAGATTTGCTAAATAATACTGGAGGATAAAACACAACTCCACATTCAAGCTTGGGGAATAAGATAAAGAATCTTTTGTAAGTAGGCCTTGACTATCTTGTTCTTCCCCAGAATGTACTGTGAATGACTGGCAAGGAATGGGCGTTGGTTTTTACTAAATGACTCTGAGACATGTAGGAGGGAGAAAACACATTTTAATGTATGCTTTCCCCTGTCCTCTTTTCCAAAGCTCTCAGGAGGGGAAAAAAAAAAGTCTTAACTGCATTTTAGTCTATGATTCCTTGATTTCACTGTTAACGTTCACTCTACTACTGTTAGAGCTTTACCATGCTTTTTCTTTCAATATAAGCATAAGCACAGAGACTAAGTTCTATATAAGTCCTTCCTAGTCCTTTCAAAGCAAATTTATTTTTCTTTCTGCTTTTGCAGAGTACCAATATACATCATCTAGGTTCTCCAATCACAGCTTTGTACTGCTGTACCTTGATGTTTCAAAGAGATACTTACTCTAATGCAGTTTATAGCTATCTCAATCTTTCTAGTCAAGTCTGCCTTGCAAGATTATTTAAAAGTGTGGTCAGTCTACAAGGTCAATTAAGTACACAAAACTTTCCCTTCTTCCTGCTTGCAAGTTCTTTACTACTGTTCTGTGGCTTACATGCATATAGTTGAAAACCATTTTGAAAGCCTTACGCATTTATATTCTTGTGGGATGATTCATAAAATGTTACTACATAAAATAATTCTAGTAAACATAAAAAATAAGTTGGTGTTTACTTCCCCAAGCCTTTTTAAAAGGAAAAAAACCTCAAATGTATCAAAAAAACTGATACTGAAGCATATGTAGAAATTAATCTTTTTCATTTCTAACATGAAAACCCCTTTTTTAAATAACTAAACCCACTACCTCTTTACAATAAAGTTGAGCACCTAACATCATTACACTTGGCTCCCACTCCAATGGTTTGGAGAACGCTTCAGGTATTGCAGAACTGTGCATATTAATGGCAATGATGTTGAGATTTTGCTACACAAAAAAACCCAAGTCTTGCTGACACCGCAGTTTCGTCTTAAAGTAAATCCCCTTGATTAACTTTTTTCCGCCTTCAGCAGTGCTCTTTATTTCCCTAGCTGCCAGTACAATGAACTTCAGCACATAGGCAGTATGCAGATTAAAAAAATACAGTACAACCTGCTTATTATAAGCACTGTAAGTGAACTGTCAGTGCTCTGCACAGTGCAAACTGCAGTCCCATTACAATGAGGCATTGTACGTAATAAAATAACTTCATGGAGAAAAGACACTTCAATAGACAGTCTGCTGAATTCTGCAGATTTGTTGGCGATACCTTGGTAGTCACTGCTTTCTGCTGATAGTCACATGTGGCAACACAGAGGCCCAATTTGACAAGACCCTTAGCACAGGTTTTACAGTATAAAGATATGGTTGACTGAGTATTGTTTAATGCAGCTCTCTTCTTTCTGGCTGCAGAGGGGCAGAAGACGACAGCCAGTGCAGGATGCTGTATGTATCCATCTGTATGTTCTGAGTTTAATAAAGCCCTTTCTGGTGGTTTCTTCCTCATTCTTTGGATCTTTCCTTGCAGTTCACAAGTAGAGGTCAATGAGCATGCAGCAGGTGACTGCTGTCAGTCAGATTCCGACTTCTCATTGGATTTAGATGATTTACGCTTTCTCTTTTTCTTCTTCTTCTTTTCTTTTTTTTTCTTTTCCTTCTTCCTCTTTTTTTTCTTGTGTTTATCTCTACATTCTGAGGAAGTGGAGCTGCTGCCATCTTCATCATCCTCATCACTGTCATCACTGTTATCATCATCATCTTCTGAGGTAGAGTCCTCCAGGAGCTGCTTCAGTTGCTGTATCCTGAGTTTAAAAAATGGGAATAAGAATCCTTTCTAGCTCTCCTCTACCTGTAATAATTTATACTAGCTTTCATCTGTTTCCTTCCTAGCTTAAGAAATGGAAGCTGCACGCAAAGGGCAGGGGAACACTTCCTCTTTTGCTGAATTACAGCCCCGTACAGTTTTCACAGACTGGTAAAAGCAACTTCTTTTGAGATGAGCAGACGGTCTGTTACCAGGGACTTTCCATCCCACAGGATATCAAAGACAGACTAGCTTATGGGCCAATATTTATGTGTGCAAAATAACGAGGCAACAGCTATCACCAGACCACCATAAGAAGTTCTATGCTTATCTATACACAGATGCATATTGGGATTATAATATTATGAAATTCATTGCCCTGCTGATACAGAGATGACGTCAGTGAAGCTGACAGAATACACTCTAGATGCAGAGGTATTTTTGATAGGCACTCTTCCTTTGAACTTTCATGGATTAGTGGCAAATGGGGACAAACTATTTGCTTATTTTATTGTTGTCTTCAGTATCCTCTCCAAGGATTTGCTTTTTAAGCAAAAAAAAAAGCAACACACCTGCAGCAGCAGTACTACTGTATGGGCTACCTATAGTTTGTTCAATTATCTCATTGATGCAGTTCAAGTAAGAAAGCATTAAAGAACTCTGCTGCTTTATATATTGAATAATGACCTCACATGAGGAACAACATCAGGTGCCTAGAACTAGCTTTCTAAATCCACCCCTTCACGTCCACTGAAGGCACTTTGATGTACCAAATCTTAGAAAACATCTCGGTGAACTCAGTGAAAGAAAAAAAAATAATCAAACTGTTTTTTAGGCCTAAACCAAAACTAAACTCAAGTACTTGAATATTACGGCATAAATGAATACGACTCCTCTTTAAACTTTGCTTTGGGAAAAAATATAGAAGCTAATAGAATTAAAGACGTAGGAAGTACTACTGAGTGATCATTGAGAAAGCAGAAATGCATTATGCCAACATAAAGAAACTGCCATTAAAAAAAATGTTCTGAGTTGGCAAGGGTAGCTTATATCAAAGTTTCACCTACACCTTAGTATACCAAAACTGAGTATACCTAGTTTCAGTTTGGTATACTTGGTATACCAAACTGAAAATGCAGTTTACTACAGAAACACACTTACCTCATTTCTTTTTCATGACGTTTATTTTCTCTTATTATATCATACATTGGATCTTCATGTGCCTTTAAAGTGGAAAACAGAAAATCCAATGTTGGTAAAGAAAAGTATTTATCACTGACTGTTGTATTTCGTAAAAAAATAAACCAAAGCAACCCAACGCAAGAGGCTTTTATCAAAAGATGAAATATATTTAGCAAGCTTTTAATTCACAAGTATACTCTCAGACTTAACATGGTTAATCTGAACTTTTTTTTTTACTTCAGGAAAAGCTTATCTAGTTACATCATCAGTGAAGGGGACTCTCCTTAGGTATACTACCTCTCTCCCTCTCCGATCACAGCTAAGAGAACCCCATACATATACAATAGGAATAGCTAGACATAGAAGGAATACAGCAGTTCGAAATAATGAGCTGGGCCCTTATAGCATATTTTAAAAACTTAGATACAAGCACACAGGAATACAGGAGCAAGGAATATAAGACAAACAGATAATGAAGTTAGAGTTGTCCTAACATGCTATGCGCTACCATTATTGGCTCTTAAATCAGTTATTTTTAAATTAAACAGGAATTGCAGCAAAAGATTGTTGTGAAGGAAGATAGCAAATAAACTTTGCAGATATTTAAGGTGAGTTCATGCCGCACAAGAATGCAGCAAAAAGGTGGGGTGATAATTTCTGTTGGAAGATTCAGCAAACAAGTTCATCAGAGAGGAGATATCAGATGCTGACCGGAGGTGGGAATTAAAATGTCAGTAGCAAATGAAAGATGTTGGGAATGCACCATGAAGGGCTTTGGACATACAGCAAGAGTTTGATGCAATATAGAAGAAGCCTGAGGAAAAATGAAGAATAGAGGCAATCTGGTCATGGGAGCAGGCTAAAAATACTCTTTGCAGTAGCATTCTGATTGGACAGAATAAGTCCAGATTGCATTTTTTAAGGATAGAAATGAGGACATAAGACACAAAGTGATGAGAGCTTGATATACAGTTTAACAATGCAGAGCACCAGGAAAAGTTAAAGAGGTCACGCAGAAAGAATCTGCAGAACTGAGATGTAGCCTCATGTAGCAAGAGATCAGACTTGTAGACAATGACTGGATTACAGACCTAGACAACAGGCTTCATGATGTGGTTGTTCACAGTGAGAGCGGAAGGCTTGAAGCAGCTGTAATGTGGGCAGCTCAAGCTTGACTAAACATTTTTTGTTACGTTGACATTTTAATGACAAAAACTGAATACAATGGTTGAAACAGGTTCTTGAAGATTTCCAATTTAAATGTAAAAATTACTAATTTTCCTCTCGAAGAGTAGATTTTCTGCAAAGTAGTCAAACATCCAACCACATCTGTAGCTTTTTCTTTATTAGGAGATTTTCGGCATCTATATTATACTAGAGACAGAGGAAAAGTCCTTAATAAAGCATCATCTAACAGGCTTCTCTTCACTTGCAATATTATGCATCATCAATATTAAAAAATGCATGCAATAATACTACAGTATTTGTACTCACTACTCTAAATTGTTCCAATTTCTGATTGCCTTTAATAAAGAACGGGCATTCTTTATCTCCTGTTCTGTGTCCATAACGTTTACACCTCCAACCTTTAAAAAAAGAAGCAGCAGTAAATTGCATCTCTGAGCCAGATCAGAAGAAGAAAAGAAAAAGGGGAAAAAAAAAAAAGCATATTTATGGAAAATATTTTCAATTTGTTGAAACAAATAAACAGATACAAGTATTATGCTGATAAATGTAACATCCATAAAATGCATTTTTATGCATTTTATTACAACCTTCAAGATACTGGTTGCTTTTATATCAATATGATAATGTAACATCCATAAAATGCATTTTTATGCATTTTATTACAACCTTCAAGATACTGGTTGCTTTTATATCAATATGATGGCAATCTACCTGGACCTTGTCATCTGTCCACCAGACATTCTGCCCTCCCCCAGAGTAAACGGATGGCTATATGAAGGTCCAATGACATCTGGAATATTTTCAGCCTTACACTGCATGACTTTGACTTCTTTTCCCAAAGGCATCCAAAGCCCTTTTGTCGGGGCATGTGCCAGGAATTCTCGTGCACTTTCATTGCCTGGTACATCAGGTATGCAGTCTTCTGGTTTTGTTTCATTCTCCTACAGAAAAAGAAAAGGACAATAAAATCACATTTTTTTTAAACTTTGTAAAAATTAATGCCCCAAGTATGCAGGCCTTCACTTAATATGGAACCTATTTCCCCTGTAACATTTCTTTTTCTTGTAACACAAAAAGGATGCAAAATACCTGAACCTTTTAACAGCATAAAGTAATATTCTTTTTAACTCACCCTTGAATTTTCCAGTCTGAACTTTATTGCCATATTAATTCCATTTGTTCCCATTTATTTTAGTAATTTATTTAAATAAATAATATAAATGAAAACTTAACAGACAAGCAGAGACTTCTTTTTCCTCTTCCTGCTAATAAGACATAACAATTAAAAACAGCCTTTACAAGACACAGCAGTATTTTTTAGGTTAAAAGCACTAGATTATGGCTTAGGTATATAAATCTGGCAAAACCAATGATCATTATGAAAGGAAAGTATTTTTACACAAATATTTGAGCATAAGCAATGGAGAAGAATCCTGAAAAGATGTCATTCAAACTGAAAATCTGCTTCACTACAAATGACTCTCCTCTATCCGCATTATTAAATACTGCATTAAGTGTGCGTGCTAAGAGGTGACAAAAGAACTGGTATCATCCTATCTGATTCTGGGCATTTCACTTTGGATTCGCCAAGTCAAAGAGGTTGGCTTGTAACTGAGGAGCTCTGAGTTTTCCCGTGGAAGCACCTACTTCTCTCTGTAATTTATATAGGTAATGTAGACATTTAAGATAAATGGCTAAAAGACAGGTTGTGTGAAAATCCCTCATACTGCTAAAAATTTACTGCAATATATTTACCAACCTTAATTAGCCCTGGGGGAGGTTTCTCATAGCTGAAAAGCAATAGAAATATTGTTACTCTGCAGCTTAGCACAGACAAATAAATTGAGAAAATACAGTATTTCAATGGTATAGAGTTAAAACCTTCACCTCACATTTTCCCTTAAATTTTACTGAATCAACAATCACTAAGAACTACAGCAGAACACGGATTCCTGGATGCAAGCAGAGTGAGGCACAGTGTTTGTCACATCACTACACACATCTCTTGCAACCATCCTTCAGATTCATATTCTTGTGGGGGAACAACTACTTTCATTGCACTGCTTTACAGGGATGTGTGGTACATCCAGTTCAGCTTCAGTTACCATAAATGCACAATTCTCTCCTCTTTTTCTGTAGCACCCCTCCCCAAGATCTCACTGATCCCAATTTCTTTACTCCAGCACTGCTGAATCATAGGCATACTCAGCTGGAAATGTCAAGTCAGACCATTCCTTACATCTAGCTTTGCCAGTCAAACCTAGTGTATAATAATAATAATTTAATCATTTTCTCTTTGTGTATTAAGCCTAAAGACAGAACCTTACTGACCAAAGTACCATCTTTCCTGCAGCATTTCTCTGGAGTTAGTAGATATAAAAATTATTAAAATCCAACTAGCAAGCAGGTGCTACATAGAGCACAGCAACTGAGAAAGCACATGTGCTCAGGAGTTAAATGCCAAGACACTATGAAATGGTCTTTATAACAATAACTTTATGAGTGCTGTTTAGTGCATTTCATAACAAACAGATTTTTACTGCCACGTGGAAAGGAAAAAATGACGTTCTTGTGAACCTTCTGACCTTTTTCCATTAAACCCCTGTCAATGAAATAGCATAAACCTTTTGCAGCACCGTGGGCTACTGATGGAGTCATTAGGCAGATCTTAAGCCTTTTTTTTTTGTTTAGCCTTTTTTTTTTTTTTTTTTTTTTTTTTTTTAAATCCACTCTAGTGGAAACCGGCTGAACAGCCTCTGCCTTTATGCAACTCCCAGACTTCTAGGAACCTGGAAGAGACCCGGTTTTCCCCAACAAATGGTTATAAAGTCACCGAGCGGCTTTGCGAGCGGCGCCGAGGCCCGGCAGGGAG